CTTCCCAGTCCTCTTCCCGGGACGATACAAAGCAGACGGCGAAACAAAACTCCAATCAAAGTTCTCCCGGTCTTCGAAGAACATGTACACCGTTCGCCCTGCTTTGATGAAGTCGGACGCGTTGTCTTTGGCGCGAATCTGTTTCTCGTAGTCTGCTATTACGGTCCTGTCTTCTTCTGTGGTCGTTCCCGAGCTCTCTGCTAATCTGGCTTCGCGGTATCGTCGCAGTGAGGTGCCCATGATACCGAGGCGCTCTTCCATGTATGCAATGTGCGCTAGCGATGTGGAGATGGCGCGGCGGTAGGCGAGGAAGAAGTCTGGGTGGTCGACGCAGGAGATATTGGTGCCAGGGACGTGAAGCGAGCCTGCGCCGCCGACGAAGACGAAATACGATGCGGGCCGTAGCTTGTAGGCGAGCAGGATCTTGCGGACGGATTCTAGGAACGGCACTGTTGTGGATCAGTCATTGGTTATTGGTATCCTGAATTGGCTGAAACGTACTGTACAGCAAAGCCCCTGGACCAGCTGTGTGCGGTCCAAACTCGCTGACCAGGACATCCAGGCCATCGAAAACTTCCGATAGTTCCTCTATCGAGACTTGGTCGACATCTACTGGCCTGGGGATGTAGCGTGGATGCTTTCCTACTTTCTCGGGGTTGCGTGATATGCCGATGACGGTGTGGCCGCGATTTAGCAACTCGACGGTGAGATAAGATCCTCCGAAACCTGCAGGGCCGATAACACCTACCCGGAGGGGCTTTGAAGACATGATAGAATATAACAAAGATGAAGGTATCTGTGATTGCGCTCAGATTTTGGCACTTGAGTGTGAAGTAGGTGGGTACACGTCGCGTCGCGTTCACATGACTACCATGCTATGTCGTCAAATGCAAGGTAACGCGTGCCCGATGGCAACTATTTCGGCTTAGTACGCCGAGGTTGTTGTATTGGGGAAAGGCAGTTGGGGAAGTGAGGGGATGATGTGGGGCTTGGGTAAACACCAAGGAACGAATGATGCTAGCCGATCAAATGAGTACATGGAAAGGAACATGATCAGTGTTGTAAACTGAGGCATCTTACAGGGTAAAAGTTATCAGAAGGTCGATTCTACTACTGTTTCACGATAGGGTATCATTTGGAAACATGACGTCGGCAGATAACTACGCGTTCATCGGTGAGCGCTTCAACCCAGTGTCTATGTAGTTTCCACTAACAATGACAAGGTCTCGGAGCGATGGGCTACGCAATGGCAGCCAACATCCGCAAGAAAATAGACCCATCTTCAACCCTCTACATCAACGACATCAACGCCTCGGCATGCTCCCGCTTCAAAACCCAATACTCGTCGCACGGCCCTATAGAAATCGTCGCTACAGCGCGCGAAGCAGCGGAAAATGCAAAAGTACTGGTATCCATCGTACCGGGAGGAGAAGATGTAAGGAAAGTGTATCTAGATGAGAAAGACGGAGTGATTGCAGCGAAGAGGGACCAAGACAGGGTAATGCTAGAATGCAGCACAATCGACGTGAACACCACAAAAGAAGTAGGCCGGAAGCTCAAAGAAGCGGAGATGGGAACATACATCGACGCCCCCGTATCCGGCGGCGTTCCAGCAGCAGAAGCAGGCACACTATCGATGTTGATCGGCCACCCACCGCCAGAGCAAACACCAAGTTCATCCGCTTCTCCAGACTCTCGAATCACGACGACCCTCACGATGCTTGGCCCACCATCCAAAGCCTTCTACCTGAACACCCTCGGCGCCGGTCTCACCGCCAAGATATGCAACAACTACCTCTCCGGCACCATCCTCCTCGCCACCGCCGAAGCCCTCGCGATAGGCGTATCTCACGGTCTCGATCCCGCCGCTTTATACTCCGTGATCAAGAACAGCACTGGTCAGTCTTGGATGTGCGATCATGTCATGCCCATTCCCAATGTGCAGAAAGAGTATTGGGTACCGAGTAACAGTGGTTATAAGCCGGGGTTCAAGACGCAGATGATGCTGAAGGATCTGGGTTTGGGTATCGAGAGCGCGGGTCAGGTTGGGGTGAGGCCGAGTATGGCGGAGAGGGCGTTGGAGGTTTGGGAAGAGGCGGCAAAAGACGAGAGGTGTGTGGATAGGGATGGTAGTAGTATATATTTGCATGTTGGAGGTCTTCTACCGAAGGGATACGAAGACAAAGGGAGGAAGAATGAGGATGGAACGTGGGAGTTTGCGGAGTAAGGCTCCTGTCATCTTTAACGTACATAGTGTTGTTGCGAACCCGTTCTGATGCACTCATGTAGTCTTCATACCGTCTACTTTCCTTGGAAGAAGTTCTGGAAGACCTCCATAATGGCATCAAACCCAGCCGTCTCTCCCAGCTTGAGTACCCTCTCATCTCTTCCAATCTTCGCTGGATCACCATCTGGAACCCATCTGCTCGTGACACCATCGGCACTAGGCCCGTAGACCTTGGCACACAACTTGTCGGTCTTAACAGGCGGCCAAGGGTCCTCCCCATTCACGAATTTGATGAAGTCTTCTCCGTACTCTCGTGCTACCTTCTGTTGCGCATCGTCCAGGTGCTCGTTGTAGTTCTGGAAGAGGTACGATATATCGAGAATGTGGCCTGCTTCGCCCTTGAAGCGACCTTCCCAAGGTATTCCTTCGTTAAAGTGGTAGAGAAAGAACTTCGAGTCGGGTGTGTTGGGCCAGCCTTGGGCGAAGGCACGAGCGGGCGCGTAGAAAGATATCTCGGAACCAAAGCGCAATATTGAAAGCATAGCCTCTTCGTCCGGAGCCTCGGGGGTTATCTTGTAGGATGCGAGAAGCTGTTCCGCAACCTCTGGCTTGGCGGACAGTGTGGCGTTGCAGGAGTCGATGAACTTTTGCGCGACGCCCGGCTTGCGAGCATCGAGGCCCAGGTATGCAATGATGTTTGCCTAAAAAACATGAGCTCACATATTTCGAGATTCACGATATGGAACTTACGTCCAGCTTTGACTCTCCGATCATAAAGGCCTCGCACCACTTCCTGCCCGGCATCATGAAAGCTGGGCTGTCTTCTTGGGATGAGACGGTAAGGAAATCTGGTGAGCCCGGCATGGTATCTTTGTCAACTGAAGGCAGCATCGGTGCTGTGGGTGGCACCTTCTGCCATAGATCATCCAAGGGTATACTGAGGAGGGCCTTGATACGATCCTCACGCGACTTGTCTGTCAGGCCAAATGCTTCGATGGCTTTTTGATACGAGGACTCTGCCACGAAATCTGGGATGGGCTTGAACAGTAGCACAGCTCCTCCAGTACTAAGACAGCGCTTCATCAGCGGCTCCTCCGAGCAGAGCAATACTGTCGCAGACACTGCGCACGTTAGTCGAGCTCTACATCAACAGTGTCCACAACATACGTCCACCGGCGCTCTCTCCGCATACTGTGATCTCATCTGCGTCACCCCCGAACCCGCCTATGAACTCCCTGATCCACTGTAAAGCCGTGCGCTGGTCGTGAAAGCCGTTGTTCGCTTTGTATCCTGCTTTGCGCAATTCTTCGGAAGTCGCAAACCCTGTGAAACCCAGTCGATAGCTGTAGCTGTTAGTAGACGAGGTACGCTTCGGGTTTTAAGACCCACTTGATGGTAATGCCGATGATGGGCTTTTTCCTCTCGACAGACATCTTCACAATGGGAGCTGGATCATAGTGCGGGTACCAGCTACTCCCAACAGCAAAGCCGCCTCCATGTATGAAGACAAAGACCGGCAACTTCGCGTTGGAATCAATAGCCCCATCCTTGTTGGTCGGCACAGTAATGTTGAGGTTCAGACATTCGAGGTCGGAATGCGTCGGAACCTCTGGAAGTGGCAAGGAATGTTGAATGAAGCCGAACTCGCGTTCAATGGCACCGACTGGAGATACTGGAGGAGGACTATTCTATTAGTAAATGGTAACCGGCGTCACCAGTTGACATACCCAAATTTGGTGGCATCCGTAGTTCCAGATCCATAGCTGTCAACGAGCTGGGGTGCAGCCAAGCGATCTTTCAACGAAGCATACTTCAGGCCAAGAAATTGAACTGCACCATCTACTGGCTTTCCTTCTATTTCACCTAGGTGTTGGTGCTTGAGGGTTTCCGACATGTTGGCTGCTGCGTGGGATGGGATGGTAGGAAGCAAAGGATCGTTCCATAGACTAACGGATTGTTTACTATTGCCTAGTGTCTGCTTGGATTGGCTGGAGGGAGTTGCGCATCCCTGGAGCTGCTTCTCTGGAAGCAGGTACGTTGGGGGCAATGATGGTCCGATAATTACCCCGCACCTGTACCTGCCATTTCAGTAGTGGGGCAATCACCCGCGACCAAACACCGCGTGCGGGATGTGGGGGTACTACAGCGACTGCGCCTCGCATCGATGAGGATATCGTAATTCGCTCGATGTCTGAGCTCGGCAATTAGCAAGCATGTGTTCGGCTAGATAGAGAGCTACCTAGGTAGATGTACATGTTACACGCAGTCATTTTCTTGCACAAATGACACCAACAATGGAGGTCGGCCTCTCTCATACTGACGCCTTTGTCAAGCTTGCTCTCCTCGATGGCGGCAGCTTTCTAGGAGATCTGAGCCGCTTGCATGCTGGTGAGAGTGGCACATTTCGCATGTACAACTGGGCGTTTTACATCGCGCACCAGGGAAGACACATACTTTGGGATCTTGGGCTGGATGAGGTGCGTAGGCCAATGTCGGGTTTGGCTATCTCAATCTTCTTCTGACTAGTTTCTTGAAGGACCGAAGTTGTTATACCCCTTGGGTTAACAAGTTCATGTTGGATATCGTCAATCACGTCGGACCACGGAGAACTATCGTTCAGCAGTTGGCGCAAAGAGGCGTGGCTGCGGAAGATGTCGATACTGTCTTGTTCAGGTATGGATACAACGGTGGCGTGAATGAAGTTCGCTGAGCAGCCTGCAGCCACGCTCATTGGGATCATTCGAGGCCTATCAGCGATTTATTTCCAAATGCGATGGCGTACTTTGGTCCCGGTACGAGAGTAGCATGTCAGCCAGGGCATATGAGAGATCCAAGCCTACAGTGGGACGGCCGCTTCTTTGATCCGGAGAACTCGACAGAAAAGTGGGATGAGTTACATGGCGTGTGGAAGCCCTTTGGCCCGTTCGAAAGAGCACTGGACTACTTCGGAGACGGCAGTTTCTGGATCCTCGATGCACCCGGCCATATGCCTGGTAACTTGGCTGCTGCTGCAAGGCTGCAAGATGGCGAGTGGGTAATACTTGGCAGCGATTGTATGTTGTCCCATGAAATTTCCATTGGCGCTCGCTAATCTTTTGCTAGGCTGTCATTCGCGGTACGTTAAATTGATTGCACCAGGCGTTTGCTGACGTGCATGGTGTATGCGATCGGGCGTTTACTGACCGGTCAGGGATTTGCTGGACGGCACGCGAACAATTGCGGAGTTCCAAGGCCCAGGGGCAGTGAGCATGTCACTGCATACAGACCTGTCTTCGGCGAAAGAAACCATCGCTAAGATAGGACTGCTGGAAACCAAGTTTGGTGCTCATACAGCGCTCGCACACGATGCTAGCTGGCTGAAGAAGGGCACAGACCAGGTGCTCATGTCACTGCTGGACGACGAGATGCGAGTTGCAGCCCAGGAAAAGATACCGTATGATGAGATACCGTAGATGGAGTTTGAGACACGGACCAGATTTAGTAACCGAATGTTGGAGGCCTGATGATCAGTAAACGCGTCGGTGGGTTCGCTACGCGTTTTTTCGTGGCGCGATTGCTGTCCGCAGGTTGGACGCACGAATGTGGAATGCGTCAACGTTGTCTTGCTAGATGTCGATAAAGCAACAAGCCAGACGTGAATTGTTTCGAGGTTGCTTAGAGAAGTGAATGCAGTCGTCCATTTTGCTGGGCGATGCTCGCGCATAGTCTGTTCCAAGGTTGTGAGTTGGCTGTCTCACCCTAGACATCACGCTAAAGACGCGCCTACCTGAACACCAACATCATGACGTCTCGCGTCGCAGGGTGCTGTAGCGCCCACACTACAGACAACGCCCCGCCAGCCTTACAAGAAATACCGCAACCTAGGAGCCTAAAGCGCGTGGTAGGCAATGGCAACGGAGGAGATAAAAGAGATGTTCAATAGAGAATACGTGGTGACGGCAGTGGCCATGGCTCAAGCAAGCAACGCCATCTTGTCACACCTTGAAGTCCATCTCCAACATCGCAAGCCTCTGACGATACGGGATCGATGCTTCCACGGCCGCAATTTACAAACATGCGCCTTTCCAACACTCGCTAAAGATATCCCACCACCAAGCGCCACAGGATCGCCTAGTGCTGATGTACTCCGCTTAAGTGCCAAGATGCCACGATCGGGGGGCCTGGATCAGCACAACCTCATATACCTGGGTACTTCAAACCTCCATACATAGCAGACCTTACACTTTAGCTCTTCACAATGGCTCTTCGTGACCTACCATGGGTGACGATACTCTTCTCTGGCATCATTGCGGCGCTCGCATATGGCGTAATGAGACTGATCCAAGTTCGGCGTTTCTACAAAGATGTCGTAAGTTGGCAGTATCCGGCACGGGCTACAAACAAGACAGTACTGACAGCAGATCAGCCCAAACCGCCTCATAGCTTCTTCTTCGGCCATTTGAAGCTGCTCGGCGAGACCTTCAAATCGTTACCCAGCGATGTACATTATCAGGCAGCGGTGGTTACGATCGCCAGAAAGTACAATATGCCAGGTGTCTTCTACCTCGATTTGTGGCCTGCCTCATTTCAGCAAGTTGTGGTGACAGATCCGGATGTTGCACTTGACATGACAGTCATCCGGAATCACCCCAAACATGAAATGGAGGCAACAATGGTCGACCCCTTGATTGGAAGCGGCAACATCGTCACAACGAACGGACCACAATGGAAGTATCTCCACAAGATGTTGAGTCCTGCTTTCGCCACTTCGCACATCACCAACATGAGGCCGATGGTTGCTGACGAGGTTATGAAGTTTCGGTCGAAACTTTCCGAGAAAGCTGAATCGGGTGAGGTTTTCAGGTTGGAGGACCATACTCTGTGCATGACGTTTGATGTCATATCGACTATGACCTTTGGCCGATCTCTTGACGCGCAGACCAAAGGTAGCCCTGCTCTGCAGCACTTTGAAAAGATGTGCCGTGCTTTTATGATCACGCGAGAGTCTCATAACTATATCCGCAACTTCTTCGTCAACCGGACGGTTTTCGCCGAACGCGCAAAGTTTGATGCTATTGTGGAAGGGCTCATCAACGAGAGATTCGAGATAGTCAAACGTAAGAAGCCCAATGAAGTCCCTGCATACTTGAACTTCGTGCGGCTAACACATAGCTGCAGGCGACAAGCTCGATCTCTCGGAGAAGCGAGGACTAGGGATCATGGACCTCATCTTGCGAGACTATATCGCAGAGCGACAGGGTGACGTAATGGAGCTCGACCCCCAATTCACCAAAGATGCTCTCACACAAGTAAAGACTCTTTTGATCGCTGGACTTGGAACTACGTCGGATACCATCTGTTTCGGAGCTATGCTGCTTAGCGTTCACCCTGAAGTGGTACAAAGGATGCGCGAAGAGCACGACCGTGTTTTCACCCCTGGTATCGAAGCGACGTACGAGATGCTTAAAAGGGAGCCGTATAAGCTGAATGAGCTCACCTATACGAACAACGTCATCAAGGAAGTCCTGAGGTTCTATCCGATAGGAAATACCGCACGCAAGGGCATCGATACTCTCACGTACCAGGGCCGCGAATGGCCGACCAAAGATCGCATGATCTGCCCCGTCCAACTGGCTATGCATATGGATCCAGCGATATTCCCAGGCAAGTGACATCTATCGATCCTTCTTTGTAACACACATCCGGTGGCTAATGCTTCGTCCAGACCCGCTCAAGTTCGACCCAGATCGGTTTACACGAGAAGACCATCCGCGGCACGCCTGGCGTCCGTTCGAGAGAGGACCGCGTGCGTGTCTGGGCCAACCGCTGGCTATGGACGAGTTCGTGATCGTATTCCTGCTGACAATACGCGATTTCGACTTTACTTGTGCGGATCTGAAACCCAACAAGACGCCTCGAGCAGAGTGGAATAATCTGGATCTGACATTCGGTGATCGCGCCTACCAGGAATTTGTCTTCGAGGCCAAACCACGAGACGGCATGCCGATGACCGTTAAGAAGTCTAACTGGCCACAGTAAGCGCGGCAACGGCTGCCAATTCGGGTCAATAGACGACATCAGTGGCGGTCGCTAGTATGGACCATCCCAGGGCTCCTGCTCCGCAACGCATGTGTGTATGTATTGACTCGGGAGGGGCGGATGGTGGATTGGGGTCGACGTGTCATGGGAAATTAGGAAATGTGCCATGGTTGTCATACGGTCAAGTCTTATTGTCTGATGCACGTTGACAAACTGCCGCGCGACACTGACGGAACCTGGGGTAGGTAACTTCCAAGGTTGGAAGCATGGCTGTTGAGGCATAAGCAAATACCATCAAGGTTCCATCCCGTCTTCCGTCAGCCCACATTGGCGCATCCCTTGCGGATGCTCGGCTGATGCTTATGCGAGACCATCCTGCAATTCCAGTATTTCACCGACGTCTTGGACGTGTAGTTGCCGTGCCTTAAACTTACCGCTGCTCGGGTGTGATGCTTACAGTCGTAGATTTACATTCAGCCTGAATGCATAGCCAGGCGCAGCCAATCGGAGGGCGGGGAGATCCACATAGCGCGAACCCCTCACAGATTTTGCAAGTACCATGGGGCTCCGCATGCGGCTCGGGTACACTCTTGGCTGCCGTATGCCTCTGGGCCAAGCATCGGGAGTGGCTTCGGACACAAGACTGGCTCGGCGCTCGGAAATAAGTGGACTTGCGACCGCTGCTCAACCGCGTGGCCGACGAGACCATGACGTACAGGAATCGTGGGCTGTGGTGTTTACCAACCGCGTGCTGACGCAGGGTCGGTGACTACGGCTATTTACTGTGCTATAAGATATGGAGTGAGGACGACGACGAGCTGCATCCGGACCATCCGAACCAAATCAGACAACCGGCGTCATGTTTACCTCGACGCGTGCGCTGCAAGTGTTGGCCTTCGCTGCGACAGGAGCGTATGCTCAATACGTATTCCCGGACTGCAGCAGTGGACGTTTGAGCAATGAGACCATCTGCGATCCTTCGGCGTGTACGTTCATCTCCACTCACACAACATTTTGGCCATACTAATGCTTTGCAGCTCCGCTAGCTCGTGCGAGAAACCTCGTGTCTCTCTACACTCTCGAGGAGAAGATCAACGCTACGAGCAGTGGCTCCCCAGGCGTTGCTCGTCTTGGCATACCACCTTACCAGTGGTGGAACGAGGGTCTTCACGGCATTGCTGGCCCTTACACCAACTTCAGCGATGAGGGAGAGTTTAGCTACTCCACCTCGTTCCCCCAGCCCATCTTGATGGGTGCGGCTTTCGACGATGAACTCATCACCGAGGTTGCAAAGGTCATCTCCACCGAAGCGCGTGCTTTCAACAACGCGAACAGGACTGGTCTTGACTTCTGGACACCCAACATCAACCCGTTCCGTGACCCTCGCTGGGGACGTGGACAGGAGACACCCGGTGAAGACTCCTACCATCTGTCTTCTTACGTCCAGGCCTTGATCCACGGTCTTCAGGGTGACGCGTCTGACCCGTACAAGCGTGTTGTCGCAACTTGCAAGCACTTCGCAGGTTATGACGTTGAGGACTGGAACGGAAACCTTCGCTACCAGAACGACGTTGAGATCTCTCAGCAGGATATGGTTGAGTACTATCTCGTTCCATTCCAGGCATGTGTCCAGGCGAACGTCGGTGCTTTCATGTGCAGCTACAATGCAGTCAATGGTGCCCCACCATGTGCCGACCCTTACTTGCTGCAGACCATTCTGCGTGAGCACTGGGGCTGGACGAATGAAGAGCAATGGGTCACATCCGACTGCGATGCTGTTCAGAACGTCTACCTCCCGCATCAGTGGTCATCATCTCGTGGTGGCGCTGCTTACGACTCCCTGAAGGCTGGTACCGATCTTACGTGCGGTACTTACATGCAGGAGCACCTCCCCGCTGCTGTCCAGCAAGGTCTTCTCGACGAAGCTGTTCTTGACCAGGCCCTTGTCCGCCAGTACTCCTCGCTCGTTCGTCTTGGCTACTTCGACTCTGCAGATAACCAGCCATACCGCCAGCTCGGCTTTGACGCGGTTGCTACCAACGCTTCGCAGGCACTTGCACGCAGAGCCGCTGCCGAGGGTATCGTTCTGCTGAAGAACGATGGTACTCTGCCGCTCTCTGTCGATTCGTCTATGTCTATCGGCCTTTTCGGTGACTGGGCGAACGCAACCGATCAGCTCCTTGGTAACTACGCCGGTGTCGCTACATACCTTCACTCTCCTCTGTACGCTCTCGAACAACTCAACGTTACCATCAACTATGCTGGCGGAAACCCTGGTGGCCAGGGCGACCCAACGACCAACCGTTGGTCCAACCTCTATGGCGCGTACTCTACCAGCGACGTGCTAATGTATGTCGGCGGTATCGACAACAGCGTTGAGGCGGAAGATGACGACCGTACTTACCTCACCTGGACTGGAGCTCAGCTCGATGTCATCAGCCTGCTCGCCGACACCGGAAAGCCAGTCATCGTTGTGGTCACTGGAGGTGGACAGATTGACAACACTCCTCTCGTCAACAACCCCAACATCTCTGCCATTCTCTGGGCCGGATACCCTGGTCAGGACGGAGGTTCTGCCATCATCGATATTGTTACTGGAAAGACTGCTCCCGCTGGACGTCTCCCTACGACTCAGTACCCCTCCAACTACATTGCCCAGGTCTCCATGATGGATATGAACATGCGCCCTGGTGAGAACAACCCTGGTCGCACCTACAAGTGGTACAACGGTTCCGCCGTCTACGAGTTCGGTCACGGTCTGCACTACACCAACTTCTCCGCTGAGGTCACTAGCGAGCTTCAACAGAGCTACGCCATCTCTGCCCTCACTCAGAACTGCAACAGCACGGGAGGTTTCCTCGAGCGTTGCCCCTTCGTATCTGTCGATGTCGAGGTCTCCAACGACGGCGATGTTAGCTCTGACTACGTCACTCTTGGCTACATTGCTGGAGAGTTCGGTCCTGCGCCCCACCCCAAGAAGTCGCTCGTCTCTTACAAGCGCCTTCACAACATTGCTGGAGGCTCTTCCGCCACTGCGACTCTCAACCTTACTCTTGCATCTCTTGCTAGAGTTGACGAGATGGGCAACAAGGTCCTGTACCCCGGTGACTACACCATGTTGATCGACAACCACCCGCTTGCGAGCGTCAACTTTACCTTGACTGGAGAGCATGCGATGTTAGACATGTGGCCTCAGCGTCCTAACCAGACTGCTCAGGGCGTCGAGTACGTTGGTGACTACTGGTATGGAGGTTACGGTAGCGACTATGGTGCTGAGCCTGCGGAGTTCCAGAGCACCATGTAAAAAGTGTCCCGTATGCCTAAGTATGCGATGGAACGTATGTAGAAATCTATTGATTGACTACCATATTGATCGAAACACCTGCATTGTCCGCGTCCATTTCCAACCTCACTTCCACCTTCACCTTTGGGCCTACGCTCGGGCCACTGATTTTGTTTGCTACAGCAACCAGCTTTTCTCATATTTTTACACCCACTCACTCTCTCCAACATACCCCGCCTCAATACCTAACGACAAAATCGAAGCACCAATGACACTCTGCGACGAGTGCGACAACGAGGGCGCGCAGCGTTGCGGCGGTTGCAGCTCGAGCTGGTATTGTTCCAAGGCCTGCCAGAAGAAGGCATGGCCACTCCACAAAGTCCTCTGCAACAGCCTCAAAGACTTCCAAGACCGCCCAAAAGCCGAATGGCCTGGTGAGAAGTACACGCGCGCTATCTACTTCCACTACGACGAAGGCGCGCCGCGATTCGTTTGGCTCAGAACCTGTACTGTAGCCGGAGACGAGTACCCGTGGCTGATGACCTTTCCCGACGCTCTCACCACCATCAACCAAGAGGAAGCAGACTCCGAAGAGTACGCCCGGATGAACAAGGACGAGATCTGCCACGACTACGCTCTCGCCCGCCGACTACCGTACAATATCGTGGTCTCATCCAGGGACAACTTTCTCAATGATGGGTCCACACACAACAAAGCCAGCAACAAAATCATTGACTTCTATTCCCGTCACTTACACGAGTGGCGCGGTCCCATGATTGCGCATGGTACCGACGTCTACGATGACAACCCTCTCCGCCGGGAACCGTCCTACAGCCAGGATCTGGGCCCCTCGGATCTGAAAATCATCGCACACTGGCTGAACACCTACTTGTGCAAGTCCCATACTCCCCTAAACATCAAGAGTATCCAGCAAGAGTTCCGTGCCGTATCTGGTGTGCGTATCAACTGCGATGGCGATGTCGAGGTTGACGGTCGTCCGCGTTTTGAGCCAATGGAGCTTCCCGCTTACCACAGGCTCTTCAACCAGGCCGCCACCGACATCTCGAAAAATATCGAGCTACCTATCGTTATCCAGCGCGTTCCTAGAAGTGTTACTCAATGGAAGAAGCGGACAGACCCTCGTGACAAGGCACCTTGGGTTAACAGAGCAGCTACCTTCCTTAATAGAGCCTGTCAACCCGAGCGCGAAGAAACTGGCGATTTGGACTATGTTTGGGGTTTTGCACATACACATTGGCAGGGCGATGTTGGTGCGGTCATGGTCATGCGTAAGGACAAGAAGACGCTGCTCGAAGAGCATGTTGATGCACTTGCCGAATATCACGAGGATTACCTGTCAGACTTCTTCCAGGAGAAGTGGGAGAGTTCGCACCCGGGTGTCGAGCCTGAGTTGCAGCGTAGCACAGCGTGGGTCATGAAAGAGATCACCAAGGACAAGTTCGAGGAGTTCTACGTGGACTGGAAGTCGAGGCAGGTGGACGAGGTGAAGCAGCAACAGATCTCGCCTTACGAAGTCTAGTGCTGCTACGAGCTCGGTACCGGGCCGACTTGGAGTTCGTTCCTTCGTCCCGAGAGCTCAGTATCGAGGTTGGCGAAGGTTTCCGGTTCGCAAAGATCTGAAGTAGGTGATGCGATCAACCCGCATGGATATTCGCCATGGTTTCAAGGAAAGCTGTTGCCTAGCTAGTCATTAGTAGAGGTCCACGGTTACAATACGAATCAATACGAATCACAGTCTCGTTTCGTAGGCTTGGTGATGTAGTCTCTTCCTTCATTATCGTTTAACTGATTCTTCCCACCCCGCCTACAACTTGCTCTTAAAACCGCCTACATCCTTAACGATCATAACCGACATCGGCTCCCTAAGTAGGTCCTCCCCGTTGACCGCCGATTGTAGCTTCTTCAATCCCGCGCTCTTGGCATGGAACATCAGAGCATCTTTGTCCGCATATCTGATGAGTGTCAGCTTTGAATTTGCCCAAGGCTTTGCGGCGTGACTTACGTTTCGAATATGACAAAGCTCGGCGCGTCGCCCTTGGTTTCGCGCTGTAGGTGATACCGGGTGGTGCCGGGTTCAGTGGCTTTTACTTCTTGGGCTGCAATGTTGAGTAGCTCCTCTACCTGGGACGCGTTAGTTGTTTGTAAATGATGCGGTGCCAATTTCACGCGTACCCTGTCTTGGTTGCCAGGCTTGGGCTTGAGGATAGCGATGATTTCGTAGCCTCTGGACATGATGACGTAATGTTCGACGCGCAAATGTTGGCTTAGGGGAATGCAAATGTCTGAGCGCGCAAAAGAGCTATAATATGCAGAAGTATTAAGAGATACGGGATGTTCAGATAACGCAGCCAAGCCAGAAGTCGCGTCGATTAGGTCGTCGCCGTCAGCTTACTTTCTCCGCTTTCCCAAAGTAGCGCCGAACCGAAAGATGCCGAGGCACGATTCAGGAGGTATCCACGCGTCGCAGCACATACTGCGCGTTCACTCTCCTACCCATCACAACCATCACAGTCGCAATGTATAGCGGTTTTGTGACGGGAGTTGCCGCTTGGCAATACGACTGCATACTCCACACGGGCCTCTGCCGATGCAGTTCGCTTGCAAGCATCGAGGGGTCACGAGGTGCGGGGCAGACGCGCACCCAGTCCGTGCCGCATCATTCACTCTAATACCTAGGTACTTATGATTCTAGTCATCACCATTTTCAGATACATTGACAATCATATTATCCTTGTATACGTCAGCATAGTATTCAGATAAGCTCTGGGAACTTGTACGTGCTTTCATATGGCAACGCTTAGCGCGATCTATTCTTCCAAGGTTGTTGTCGGTGCCAGGGTCTTGTTCTGCGAATTACATCCGATTGACCAAGGTCACCAGGAGCGATAACAGTTCGATAGATGGATCAGTCTGAAACACCGAAACCGACAATAGACATGAGCATGACAGATTTATCACTTGAATCGTTGTCGTCCGAGAAAGAGAGACTTTTAGCAAGGCTCGATCAGCTCGCAGACGAAATGTCCAAGGAACGGGCCGCACAGCTTGAAGATCCCCAAGCCGAAAGGGCCGAGTCTGGAGATGAAATTGTAGTGACAACGTCAGTCGGTGAAGGTCATGTTGACGTTTGTCCGGCTGCTGGACGGCGGTCGGACTTCACCATGAGCTGGGATGCGTGGGGGGTGTGCGTTCGATCGGGCTGTCCAGCATGTATCCTACGCCGCAAGATCGTACTGGACTCTGGGTACACAATGTCTCAAGACTCTCAGGACTTGCCCGCCCTCGTTCTTTATGATCACGACCTTCTATTCGACAGCTTTGAGTTTGATAAGAAGCTTTTCGAATGGGTCGTCGAAAAAAGCGACCTGGTCGAGGAGTCTGAGATATATGACAGACAAGTGAAGTTCGGTGGCACGGGGACTTACGGGCCAGATGTTGGGCGAATGCTACAACCATGTGATCCGAGTTTCGGGGCGAATCTACCCATGGCATTAGACTGGATCAACAAATGCGACAATGAGCATGCTTGCAGAACCGATAAGCTCCCACCTTTGCCGAAGAGGCTACTGGATCTCCGCGATGGAAGAGTACGGCTTGCTCGAACAGAGGGGAAGCGTGGACACTACGCTTGTCTCAGTCACCGATGGGGCTCAACCCTGATGTTACAGACAAACGCGGTAACAATGAAGAAGTTCGAACAGGATATTCCGTGGCTAACCATACCACAAACTTTCCAAGACGCGATTACATTTACACGTGGGCTTGGACTCGATTACCTATGGATCGATTGCGTGTGTATAATCCAAGACGATGCAGTGGACTGGCAGAAGCAATCCGGTGCGATGGCTGAGATCTACAGCAACTCCTATGTTACCTTGGCAGCAGCTGTGGCTGAGGACTCTAACTCTAGACTCCTGTCTCACGGCGATCGGAGGTGTAATTTTGAGAAAATGCCTGTCGAACTTACGGTAAATGGAGTCGAAATTCCTGTATTTGGCAGACAAGCTTTAGAGCACGGTTCTTTTCCGTTGCTAAAGCGCGGCTGGGTTCATCAGGAACGCCTTCTTTCGCCTCGCATCATCTACTTTACCAGCGAGGAGCTGCTTTGGGAGTGCGTCGAGAAAAGAGATTGCGAATGTGAAGGCCATCATGGTTGGGATCCCCGAGCTAAGATACCTAGAGAGTCCGCAGCCGATGGACCCAACGATGAGGCCAGCGATGAGGCCAGCGATGAGACCAGCGATGAGACCAGCGATGAGACCAGCATTGGTTCCAGCGATCCCTTCTCTGACATGATGGACCCCAAAGACCCCCACGAGATGTGGCGTGTTATCGTGACCGACTACTCCACACTGGACCTTACCTTCCCAAAAGACTGCTTACCAGCCTTGTCTGGAATCGCTCAAGTTTTCGGCAAAACAATGGATGACGATTATGTAGCCGGCTTGTGGAAGAAATTCCTCATATCAGATCTGCTCTGGTTCAGGAGTCTAGAAGAAGCAGAAATGATCGCAGAACACTGGAGAGCGCCATCCTGGTCATGGGCGTCTACACAATCGGTAGACGAGGTTCAATTTCATGAGGTCGAACGGCCGCTTGCAGAGCTTGTCGAAGCGGTTGTCGAACCAGCGGGCAGGGACCCTTACGGGGAGCTGACCTCTGCATATATCCGGATCAAAGCGAAAGGAGTTCGCGCAAACATCCAGCGTGACCCAACCTCGCCGACAGGATATACTGTAACTTTCCGTGCGGGTGACGACGCCCCCCTTCGCTTGAATCATCATGTTTGTCCACTGTTCAGCTTACGAACAACCAAGATCAAAGTGGAGGCTCTACAGCAAGTTATCATTGTCCCAATTGGAAGGAAGATCACATCCTATGGAGTAGCGATGCATTCAATACCTGAACATGGACTCAAGATTACATATACATATCCAGATGAGGCGCTATCATGTCTCCTAATTTCCAAGGACAAGACCGCTGGAGAGCGATGGCAGCGGATTGGGCTACTGCACCTTGGAAAATTTCCATTCCGGAACAAGGAGGATTGTACCGCTACTGAGGTATACATGCCGCGCGTATATTTAAAGCTGAAGAGGCAGTATGGCTTCTCAGACAAGGAGATTCAGTCGAGATACGAAGAAGGATTTGAAGCTCAAGAGGCCATTTTTCGAGCTTTCGATGACGAGCCTATGCAAGAATACACCCTTTGGTAGCTATCCACCTTCGCAGTCGTCACCGAGTTTTACCCTAGCTCCATGAACAGTATGCTTTACCAAGAAGAGCGTGACTTTGGGCCTCGCAAGATGTTCCATCATAGATATGGGCAGGGCCTTCTCCATCATATCAATCCAGCGTTTTCATGCGTCGTCACCACTGCCAGTGCTTTCCGGCTCGATGACTGCTCTAGCCCCAAGATCATACCTATCACCTTCGCGCAGAAAGTAAAACCTCGCATTGGACGGCGGCAGGGGCCTCTCCCAGCTTCCTTCTCTCGACCAGAAACCACCATCGTATACCAACGCATACGTGCTGCCGATGACTTCCATCTCGTTTTTGTTGACCACCAGCGCGGTGTCTTCGTCGATTGCCAATCCTAGCAGCTCCGGGTAGGCGTTCAGGATCTCGAACATGTCGAAGTGCCTGTTGCGTACAAGGACGTGCTGATCGATGGCCGAGTTCTTCAAATATCCAAAGCCGACAGTATGATCGCCTGCAAACCACGTTAGCTTTTTCTTCTATGACATGTATCCGACAGACTCACCTATCATGATGGTGTTGTTCGCGGTGTCACCACGAGCAAGGAAGCTGCCAATGATACTTGCGCCAGCACTAGATCCTGAGATAACACCTCCTGCGTCGAGAACATTCTGAAAAGCTGCTTCGGTCTTGGTGCCCGCGTACGCATCGACAAGTCTCCATTGTCTGCCTCCACCGAAGAAGACGCCATTCGCACTCAATAATGGAGCAATGAACTCGTCGGTATCGGCAACCGCGGGGTCGTATGTATGCAATACCGTCACGTTGGTGGCACCATATTTGCGGAACGCTACTGCGGTCGTGAAGTTCTGGTCGTATGTGTCCTCGCCACCTGCCGTGGGAACCACAACAATCGATGCATCGGGGCCACCAGCAAGGGAAATGATGCGCTGGTAGATGCTCTCGCTCTGCAAATTCCCTCCAACGATAACAAGGTGGCCGTTTTCTGGACCGACATAAGTCGTGTTAGTGCCATTCGTTCCGTAGATGGGAGTCGCGATGGCCGTAAACGCAAGAGCGGCGGTGTAGACGAAAGTGATAAGCCGCATGATGAATATGCCGATACCCAACGAAATGGACAGCACTCAACGCGAAAGCTTACTACATATACCGCACACTGTCAGTGACGGCATCTTATCACAAAGTCGATGCTGGGCATCGCATCATCGTGGGTCTTGGTCTAATCGGGCGGAGATCGACAGCACCTGCCTGAAAGGTATTAAAACCTCAACGGCAACCCCACTCATCCATTTCCCGGGGCATTGGCACGGAGATGCGCGGCGCAAGATGTGATAGTCTCGCACGGAGTTAGTGGTTTGGTGATGGAACTCAGGTACGATCTGGTGACACGAGTGAAAACACGCGGGGCGCTAAGCGAGGTGATGATGTCACGCGTTCGGTACCTTCGATTCCTGGATATAATAGATTACTGCTACCATTTCCTTACCATTTCTTTGAAGACAATACATCGCCTCTTCTAAGTTGGAAAAGATTGGCATCCGTTCACCATTCGGCCTAGCTGGGCCTACGAGGCCACATCATGAGTGTTAAGCTGTCCCACATTTTGCCAAGTGATATACAGCCTTCTTGGTGAAGAAACTCTTCCCGATGTCGCAACCTTTGTTCATATCTCTTCGCTTTCTTCGATATCGATTCTTGATTTTTGAACACCTGAGACTGGTCTGGTAACATTCTGATGACATCATCCGCGTGGTAGACGAGCTCCACTGGATGACCCTTGCCGTTGATGTAGACAGCCGGACAGCGCCCATGCCTTCTGTAGTCCTCGTCCTCGAAGACTTGAGACAGAACGATGAATACATTCAGTCTCAGCTGTTTGAGTGTGAATGAGGACTGGGTGTTGCTGCTGACACCGTCGCGTAATGAGCGCAACCGAACAGTTATGACCATGGAAGGGCGCGATTGATACGTGGCTCGAAGCAGCTCGATTATGTCGATGCGAACATCATCCATATCTTGATCCTCTGGCCGAAGACTAATTTCAAGCAAAAGCTGGAAGTTTCTCGCCAAGAGGTCGACGTCGCTGGCGAAACCGTGTGGCCAGAGTTGGGCTTCATTCTCTGAGTCGGCTCTTACCATACGCAATCTCTCTATATATGAGAATCCGCCGAAATTGGGTCGGAGACCTTCTGAAGCGAGCATGAAGACGAACGAAGTGGTTCTATACGCATGGTATAGGGCGTCTGACCGTACCTTGCGATTGACACGGAACACAGGGGACTTCCACGGCGGCAGTATCGTAGAGAGCGGGCTAGCGAAGAGCTTTACGGTAGGCTGGACTGCATATGCAATGATAGCATGATAAACGGATGCAGGTAAAGCTGAGAGCTCCGGTTTCCGCGGAATTTGGCTCATAGTGACTACCTTCCCTTCATCTGAGCATGAGAAAGTAGATTGCACGTTCGCTTCGGGGGTAGTGCTTGCGAAGGCAACTGTGCCCATGGTCCCTTCAACCCTCAAGATCACCGATGCAAGTAGATTTGAATACCGTCTGAGGTTTAGCTGGTCTTCCTGAGCGATGGATCTGAAAGCGTTGTTGAATATGGCGGGCGCATCGTTATAACTTGGAGTCTCGATCGAGACTTGCAGCATTGCTCCAGACTCGGTCCAAAGCAATCGTAACAACGGCAGCAAGTCGAGAGCGACTACCCAAGTGGGGCCGTGATCTTCCTCCAGCTCGGAAGACAAAGCGGAGTAATCGATGGTGACACGTCTCAGGAATTGCGCCCGAGGACCCAGTTGTTCGGACCATCTCTTGAGATAAGCCTCTTTGTTCCAGGACCCCAGGAAGAAGGAGTTCCGTTGATACAGAACGCTGGCAGCCTCCCAGTAGACTTGACGACAGCTGAAGAGTAGCCCAAAATTCAGTGCCACTTCTGATTCGACACCTCCCCAACGTGCGCCCGTGTCCCATACAAAGAGTTGTTCATCAAAGACGTACAGTAGGTCGTATATCTGATTTCGGATCTCTGAGGGGAGCGAGATGAAAGAACGTGCGCTTGCGTCCGCCGGCAATGAGTACGTCTCTAGGATTGCCCTAGCCCTGTCTTTCTTGTTGGAGATTGCGGCGGGTGATTGCTTGGCTCTGTCATGTGCTGACAGGGAACTTGATATGGCCGTATGCTGTTGAAGGTCAAAATTCCCGTTGGGGTTGGTCGAGTCGAGACGTGCCTCCATGGCAGAGATGATGGAGCGTAAAGACCGTTGAGTGTGAAGTGTAGGAGAAAGTACGAAGAGTAGAAGACAAACAGTAGCAATCCACCGGAGATATAGAAAGTAGAAGTCACGCCCTGTGCGTTTTTACATACACAGGCGGCCACTTACCGCATGCGGCCTCGTACGCAACTTCGCCGCTCTCACCTCGGAAAGTGGGTCCTCGTCAAGGCGCCCAATTACTCACCACGCAGCTCTCAGACCTTCACCCCATAGCGCGATCCTCAAATCATCCCACAACCTGATCAAGCTACCCGGAACTCGATTTTCATCATCAGTCATCTCCTTACCCTCCCAAGTCTTCCCGCCCACAGGCACTAAATGCTTGAGCCACCTAGCGTAATGCTTACCGCGCTCCTCTGCTTTTGTTGGGTTGCTCATATCGTGGGTGGCGCCATGAAACCTCGGCCCTCGGGGCTTGTTTGGATACGTGATCTCTACGGCGGTGCCGAAGCCGTTGATGTAGACGTTTGGACAAGTCCATCTCAACCTTCCGGGCTGAGCTTGCAGTACGTGAGACAGGATAACGAAAGTGTTAAGCTGTACATGGCGGAGGGTGAAGGCGCTTTCGTAGTGCGCAGTGCGACCATCTTTCCCAGGGCAAGTAAGTACGCATTTGATGGTGGCAGTGAAAGGTTCGTCCCATGTTGTCGTTTTGAGTAAGTCGATGATGCTGATCCGTAAGCTCTCTAATGACGTTCTCTCGCAGAGATCGAATCGAAACTCAAATTGGACAGCCTTCATCCACCGCAGAACTGTTCGTGCGTCTTTCGTAGCCGTTGTTTGAGCCGCCTTCGCCTGATTGTCATTACGTCGTTGCCTAGCTTCGCGAGCCAGGCGCCAAGACATCATCTTTCTATCGATCACTCTTTCGGAAAACGTCACCGACAAAATTTTGCGTTGTCCAGCGGCTGCTCTGGCGGTCGCCCTAGCTAATCTTTTGCCAGGTCTCCGTTTTGCTTCTTCTTTGACTCTGTGAACCGCTTCTGGGGCTGTCGTGGCGGCCGTCCGAATGTCGAGCACGTCCATTCTCAGCCAGGAGAACAGGTGTGACATATCTCCATATGTTGCGCGTTTCGTGTGAATATTCGTAATAAATGTGAACGTGTTCGATGTGTAAATACTGGGCACGATAACGCCGAGGAGTCTCGGACGCTTCTTGACCAGGTTGAGCAGGTGAAATACCGGAAATATACTTGTCTTCATGCCGAGGACGATGACTATGCTCTCAAGTAAGCTTAGTGCGTGTTCGCAAATTGTTCCCAGGACATCTGGTGGGAGGAAGAAGAGATTGGAGGTCGATTGGATGTGTCTCTTGTGTATTGCCCAACTGTCTTCAGGAACTTTGAAGTTTATATTGGGCGCCAAACAACCAGTGATGGTGCGCCATCTGATGTTACCTTTGATCACAGACCTGTCAACAGTGATGCACGAAAGACGGCGGCCTAGATCGCCAAGTCTACGAAGATTTAGTGGATCTTGTCTCACAAGTGTGTACAACGTTCCTTCCAGTAAGTCTTGATCCGGGTCTTGATCCGGAGGAGATCTCCAATTGGAATAACCCAAACGTAGGCGAGCGTTCGTGTAGTCTGGTACCGATGGGATTGACGGTAATTGTGGACTCAACGTGAAGTCAACCCACAATATTTCTTGAGGCGAGCCAATCATGCTGCTCAGTAAAGGTAGGAGATCTATACGCTTGTGGTGGTCGTTGTGATTGGGA